GTCTCAGCCTGAACACAATTCCTCCACTATGCAATCTGTGGGCCCACTAGTTAACATTGGCAAGCATCTCAGAGGTGCTCATGATGCATAATAAGTAAGTGGCCGTGAAGTCGGAGGGGGAGGGGCTTCTGCTCCAGGGTGTTAGAGAAGAAACACAAACATCAGCTATCAGGGCGAGCCAAAGAATTGGTGAGGACAAACAGCCCCAACTCACAGGTGATGGCACAGTGGGATTGCCAATGTGGCTCAGCCCACATACCACCCGCTACCTCTCTAGGTGATTTGCAATACTAGTATCTGGCCAGGCACTCAGAAATGACCCGGAAGTTGAAAAAGAGTCTCCTGCATTTCCATATTCACTAGTTTTAGTTTTTCATAGTTAACATAATAACAGCGTGAAATATTTGCCAGCATACCACCAAACACATTGTCCTTGTGAGTGCCTTTTCCCTTTCCCATACACACCCTCGGACATCACCCCCACTTGTTTTCAGCAAGCATCATGCTGAAAGCAAAACAAAACAATCCCATTCTCTTAGCTAAAAATGCATACATTTAAGGTTAAATGTTTAATGCAGTATCAGTAACATTAGTAACAAAAACAAGAGGTCCTAAGTGAAAAACATAAATGCCACTTAACACGTTTAACCTCGTCAGGGAAATGCAAAACTAATACAACCATCAAATATTTCCTAGAGTAGATGAGCCAAAGATTAAAAAGTAATAGTGGAGGATGGAGTGCAGGAGAGAGGGAATATCCATAAAAAGAAGTTGCTGCTCTGAGTATAAATTTCACAGCACAGCTTTTAGGGAGAAATGGAGTATTGTGTGTCAGTCAAAACTGACTGTGCATCGACTTTAGGCTACAATGTTATCTCTGAGCATTTGTTCTCAGGAAATAATCTGAACAATGTCCAAAAATGCCCAAGGTTGTCCATCACAATCAGTGCAAAATTAGGACTAACAAGCGTCATGAGATACGGAGTACTAATCATGTAAACACAAGTTAAACACGGTAGTAACTATGCAGTGCCATATCAAAAGGAGAATAGAGCATCATACATCTTTAGCTGTAACAAAAAGAGATAGCCTTCAAAAGGGAGTACACATTCCATTCTTTGTTTAAAAACACATATTTGTATGCTGGGCGGTGGTGGCACACACCTTTGATCCCAGCACTCGGGAGGCAGAGCCGGGAGGATCTGTATGAGTTCGAAGCCAGCCTGGTCTACAGAGTGAGATCCAGGACAGGCACCAAAATGACACAGAGAAACCCTGTCTCCAAAAACAAAAAAACAAAAAAAAAAAAAGTGCATATTTGTAAGGATTTGTATGTATTCATTAAAGACAGATTGTGATTGGTTTTACTTTATTTGGGCACAATGAATAGGAGAAACAATAGGTAAATACCCAAATTGCATCTGGATGCATGTGGCAGGGAGGAAGGAACTAATGAGAAAACAGTATGCTCAGCAATGTGCTGGCAGGGTCAGGGTGGAAGGCCTACTGCAGTTATGCACAGAATTCTGTAGCATAAATGCTATCGACATTGTTCATTTCAGTGCACCAACGCATTGTCACAGGATGTACAGCTACACAGTAGGCCACTACCTGGCATTTCCATAATACAAGAGCACATGTACAGAATTAGAAGAATATCAATAATATTAAAATGTACTACAATCATTAGATGATATGGTTTGAGGAATGCATTATGTAAGCCTGGAAAGAAAGTCACCAACATGGCAATATTAATCGTGTTCAGAAGTAAACTAATGGATCATATCTTCTTGTTCTTCAGACCCAAGTTCTTATCTCAATAGTTTCACAACAAACATACATCACCTTTATAATCAGAAAAACAGCCAAGTGTTTCTTCCTTTACTTGCTAAGAACCTAGGAGCAACATCAGGGGATATCACGTTTCCAAGTCTTGCTAGAATAAAACATTTCTCCAGAAAGAGTGATGTCATTAACGCGATCAATGGTTGGATCAGATCAACCTTATCATTGTCAGTCATGTGTGAGGAAATGGACAGTAATACTTCCAAGTCATTTCCAAAGAGAAATGCACGACACTGGAATTCATGGGGTCATGAACTCCCAGGAAGCCTGATACTCTCACTTCACAAAAAAAAAAAAAAAAAAAAAAAAAACATCCCCCAAGGAGCCCTACAAGACAGGTATAAAGGGACAGCAACCTCTCCATTTATAAGTGATCTCAACGGAAAACAGAAATGTATGCTTATTTGGTCATTAATAGAAAAGGTGGCTTTATTGTTCTGGAGTGGTGTTCATTCAGCTGGTTAATTGTCTAGATAGGAGTCACCCCTACCTTTGTTTAGACAGTAACCGCTCATGAGTCTCCAAAATCGCTCCTTCTCAAAACATTTCCACATGGATGCTCTCGGCTACTCCTCCTAAGAACCCTGTGGGACAGGTAGGGTAAACAAGGACCACTCCTGTTTTTATAGGTAAGGAAACTGGGGCTTGAGCAGGCGAATGTCTAGTCCAAGGCCAGGGTGTGCCCTCTAGACATCTTTCTGAGGCCTTTTGAGAAGTGCCTGGCTAAAGAGCCTTGCTGAGGGCACTTTCCTGTCCTCCAACAGGGTCTTCTGTCTTTTAGGGTTTTATTTTCACTTGGCAATATTGCCTTCAGGTCACCTACAATTGCTCTTTAGTCCCCACTTCTCTCATTCTAGGCTGAAAGATAATTCTATCTACTCTCAGCCTATGAATATTCACATTCTTCTTTTATATGAGAGATAAACTCCAGATTGTTAGTTTTTCTTGAAATTTGAGGGATTACAATTGGAAATGTCCACACTCATGGCATTTGCAAACAGTCTGTCAACAGTTTTGTGTCTCACATTTTTAGACAGTCTTGGCATTCTAAAAGGGATTAGCCTACAAGTCAGAGGGGACAAATCGACTCAGCAAACACAAATTCTGTAAAACGACATAGCTTAGGAGATCTAAGATCAGCCATTCTCCTTACCCTTGCTTTATTAGGAAGAGCAATATGTTCTATTTGGAGGCGGTGTCCCCAGCAAACATTGGAAAAGGTATCCACGGACTGTGTGCAGATCCAGAGACACAGAACTACCAGCTTCAGCTAGTCTGTGTGATGCTCCAGCTCTTGGACTTCCTGGCTGAGGCAATCTTAGGCAAATTCCTTGTACATTGCTCACCCCATTGGCCTTGCAGGGTCATGGTGGAATCTAAATGGCCATGGAAATACTTCATATGCCAGAACCCAGAATAAAAATATGTGATAAATATAGATAGATAGATAGATAGATAGATAGATAGATAGATAGATAGATGACAAATGATGGACAACTTTTGAAGTTTACTGTTGTAAGTGAGGAACAGTGTGCTGAGAAAAATGATTCAGCACTAGGCAGGTGGCCAGGTTTCTGCAGTCAGAACAGGACAAGGAGCTGGGTGCATACTAATGCTTGCACCTCTGCTGAGCCTACTGTCCAAAACACTGCGGACCAAAACACACAGCGGCCCTTCCCCAGCCAAGGCACTCATCTGGGCTTCCAGCTGCATACAAAGCTGGGCTGACCCCCCCCCCCACGCCATCGGCAGTGCTGTGACAAAGACCAACTAGTAACCAAATTGCTCCACCAGAAGCATTTGTTAGGCTAGGGAGGGGTTAGCCTTCAAGAACAGAGGTGATCCACGATGGTATGTCAAAGACAAAGTGTGGTCAAGATGAGGAAAGAGGAGAAAAGTGGGTGCGTTTACAAATGAGCAAGGAGAAAGGCACAGAAGAAGTCCCTGCCTTCTGGTCAGAGCGTTCAACACGAGGATAAGGACTCAACTTCAATCTCTCAAGGAAATGCTTGGGGAAAGGAGCATAAGCCAAGATTAAGCCAGGAAGTCATTTCTGGTGACATGTGGGGAGGGCCTTGAAAGCAACTGTTACTTGATAGTTAAGTCTGAAAGAAGTAAAAACGTGATTACGAAAGCCAACTGAATTAAGGTGCCCTTTATTTCTTTATAATTTTTTTTCAGCTTTGATAGATGGGATCTGTTCCAGAATGTCCCAAAAAAAAAAAAAGTTGTTGCTATAGAAACACGTAAGCAGATTAAACTTGAAAGACCAGTTTTAGAAACAAAGAATTTAATAGTCAGGACTCAAGCAATTAACCAAGAAAACATTTTAAGTAAATATCTTTTGGGTTTGTTGTTTGTGTATTAATTCCAGGAAGATAAAACGCTATTATAGAGTGAGAGCATCACATTTTCACATTTTAATTGCATCATTACCGGCATAAAAGCCTATGCTTACACAATTAGTAAAAAGACCTTATTAAACACAAGTGCACATCTCTCACTCTCTCTTGATTACATTGTAATTGAGAAATATCACTGTAAATTCAACAAGAACAGAATCATCTTTGATTTTCTAACAGTTCCCAAGTTTCAGGAGCACTTCTAAAACTGTGAACTACACAAAGTTTTCTGTAACCAATCTCTACAGCAGTAAGTTTTTTTGAAGTAAAATGAAATGTGTGTAGGCTGATCATGGTTAATATTTATGCTTTGTACCTTCCCTGCTGAACAGCAAGACTGTGAGAAAAGAAAGGAGTCAAAGACCCAGCAGCCAGCTGCCTTGCCTTTGGGGTTCAGTTCTTCCTTTCAGGGAATACCCTGGTCCTCACCCTGGGGACCTGATGAAATGGGAGTTCTAGACAGAACTTTCCATAAAAATGGAGACTCAGAAATGAATAGTCAAGAAGCCCGGTGTTCCTCTTCCCTTCTGTTTCACTTCAAATGAAAACAATCTTGATAAAAATGAACACAATATGTTCATTCTATCAAATTCGAGCCGCCAGAAGTTACATTTCTGGGACAGGGAGATTGCTTGACTCTGTAATTCCAGAGTCAACACACAGTGAAGTATGTGAGTGTGTTCACGTGTGTACGTGTGCGAAGCTAGGGAAGGGGGACTGGGAGAAGGGGACAGAGTGTGACTGGAATCTTACCATCTCGTTCTCATCTCCTTCGTTGAGCAAAGCATGCTGGCCCTTCTCAAGGTGGTCCCCCATGGAAACGCACTCCGCTCCTGCTCCCCGACCCTTGCTTGCAGCCGCTTCCAGGACCAACTCCAGAGCCACCTCCAGGTCGCTGAATGAAAGAGTTAATGATCCTCCAGGTTAAAAACTCCTTCTTGAGCACACACCTTCTTTCAGCAAATGACAATACTTAGCAAAGTGGACTCCTCCCCCGGGCACTTGGTGCCAGGAGGAATTTCTGGCTGTTCCCTGCTCCTGCATTCTCTCAAGGCAGCTGTCTCCGAGGAAGCCACTCCCATGTCGATCTTTTTTGTACCCAACTTACAGGGAAAAATACTCATTGCCTGCCCACAGCCTGCCAGCCTAAGGCATCTGACTGCAAATCCAGCCGGACAATGCGGAGTTGGCAGGACCCTCGGGAGAAGCCGGCTCAAGAACTCCCAGGTCGCTGCTTTATTCCCAGAAACTAAGGAACTGGGGTGTGGGGAGGCTAACAGCGCTGGGTTTTCATTTGCTCCATTCAAATCCCTAATCCATAGGTTTTCAGGACCATTCTCATTCATTATGCTTGCAAATAGTACAGATTATTCATAATCCACCTCAAAAGATATTTATAATTGCATTTCCCTTTTGCACACACCAGCATAAATATTCTACTTAATGTGTGTATAGAACTAGGCTTGCTTTCTTGAAAAGCATGTAGCAAAGGCATAAAAGTACAATCAACTATTCTAGGCAATCCTTTTTAGCTTAAATGAGAGACATCCAGAAACAAAATATTCAAGTTGCCAAACAAAAAAATTGGGGGGAGGTGTTTGCTTTTTGTTTCTTTGATTTTTTTAAATTTTATGCACATAGATGTTTTGCCTGCATGTATGTCTGTGCACCATGTGTATGCCTGGTGCAATCCCCTAGAACTGTAGTTACAGGTGGTTGTGAGCCACTATGTGTGGATTGGGAATCTAACCCAGGTCCTCTGGAAAAGCAGCGAGTACTCTTGACCACTGAGCAGTCTCTCCACCCCACCCTCCATTTCACTTTTTATTTATACACAAGCTATGCAAAAATTTGTTTTAGCATAGAAGCATAAAATGACCAAGTCACGTTTGTTATCCTCAGGCCAATGTAAAGATTCAAATAGATAAATAAGTATGCTAGGAGGTAGGTAGGTTCTTACTCTGCAAGCCGGAACATAAGTCGGAGATAACTGTAGAGAGTCCTGGTGTGTTGAGAGAAGCATAGAAAGACAGGTACACATCTCTGAGCCCGTCTTCCCGTGTGACCTTTGACCTACAAGAACTGACTTTGATAACCTGGAAATGGCAGGCATGCTGAGGGAAGGGAACGGTGACCTGTGAAAGTGTACTGACAGCACTGACCAAGTATCCTTGCTGGTTTTAGACTAGATGTTCGTTTTTAGCATCCGTTGGTAGGTAGCACAGTGGTTAGTGACATGCACTTCAAAGCTGGAGGACTTGGCTTCAAATTTGGGTCTTACCAGGGAGCAGCTTTGCTGCCTGGGGATATAGCAAGCTCCATAAACTCCATCGACCTCTATTTGTTTGCATGTAAAGTAAAAATAATGACACTAGAATCTCCCTCATGTAGCTTTGTTTTTGAGAAACAGGGCCTGGGAAGATGTTCAGTAAAGGGTGGTTTCTGTGTCCACACACTGTTCCTTCCAGATGGCGCTGATCTCTCCAACTTGACATAGGCAACCCTTAGAGATTGAGATACAGGTGTGTAAGAAAGGAGACACACACACATACAGAGAGAGAGAGAGAGAGAGAGAGAACTCTTGAGCAAATGGTAAAGCATAAGATAAATGTAAAAAAAAGCAAGCTAAGAAAATTCATGGTAACAGTAATAATGTATATAAATATTTGAGTGTATGCAGGTATAGTGTATAGTTCTTGGAATTTCCAAAAATCATAAGTATTATTTAACCAAATAATAAAAGTAAAATTAGTATTTTCTCATATGGAGACAGAGGAGGGGTAGATCGGGGAGGTAGAGGGAAGACAGGGGGAGAAGGAGGGAATTGGAGGAGAGGAGGGAGGGGAAACTGCCATCGGGATGTAAAATAAATGAAAAAAAATTAATTAATAAAAAAACAAAAAAATCACAACGTAAACATAGTTTCTTTTCAGAGATAATGAAGACAGTCTAGAATTAGTAATGGTACATCTTTGTAAACAGCCCACAATTCACTGGTTTGTATTTCAACAAGCAACCATTTAGTATATTTAGCAAAGGAAATAACAAAACAAAAAGATTTCCAACTGCATCTCAACTTCTGCAAACTGGTAGGGTAAGTGGCAAAGCTAGTGGGCAGATGTGGGATGTATTTAATTCTCCCCCGTGGAACTGGCAGTACTAGGATTGTTTCCTTCCTACCAGAACTCTGTATCCACTTGGCAACTTCTCAGTTGTGATGCTAAGTGAGTAGCTGACTGGGGCTACAGGAGAAACTGCATGTACTCTTACCCCAACAAACAAATTCTCTTAACAATATTTAAGACGATTGTGAGTAGAAAGTTAAATCCCTACAATCACCAAAAAGATTTGGAGTAGAAAAAAATTCAATATGCATCAAAACTCACGGCCCAAAGAACTGAGAACTCTGTAGTAGTGAAATGTTTCCTTCAGGCCTCTCAAAAGTGCCAGTGTTACAAATCTAAGTTTTACATGTGTCTGCAAGTTCATGGGCACCCTGGCCTTCACTTGGTTCTGCTCAGCTTCACACAGGAACCCAGAGACAGAGCAGATTCAGTAGGAAAGCATGTTTATGCACACACTTCCGTGGAGAGGTTACTATTCTAAGCATTCTGTACAATAGGCACTGTGGTTGATACTGTGCTGGTCATGCTCACTCAGCAGATGAGGAAACCTCTGTGCAGAAAATAAGTAATGTGTATACATGAAAGCAATTATCAAGTGACAAGATGGACACTTGAAGTCAACAAAAATGATGCAGCTCTCTCAATCCATGTCCTTGTTACTGAGACAGCACCGTTTCTATAGGTTTGTTTAGTGCATCCAAAGTGCTCATCAAGAGTGTTGGGCTTTCATGACTGGTAGAGCTTCTCTGTGGAGGGAGCATTTGAGAAAGAACTATAAAGCGGACAGGAAATTATTTAGTAGATGGAGACATAGGGTCCAGGGCAGGGAGAGAGGCCATGGGAAAGAGCCCTTGAAGGAAGGAATCCATGGTACAGAGAAGCACAGAATCTTTGTTCTGAGTCGCTTTCTCCTCCTTCACTGCCCTTAGACAAGGTGTAAGGGGAGCAAGATGGGACAAGAAGCACAGATAAAGCCATCCCGTGCAGGACTTTGAATACCAGGCCTGGGTCTGGACTTACCATTGTGAACAATGGTAACATCATAAATATGTACAGTCTGTTCTGTCAGCCTGTGTTGTAGGAGTGGCTACAATTGCTTATGCTGAAGCAACCGGGTCCTAATACGGAATGTTTGCACAACCTGTGGCTGAGGAGGAATAAAGCTTCTTCCAGACCATCCAGATGATGCTCATCGTTTTGTATAACTCACATCGCTATTTGTCCTCACATATGTGGAGGGGGAAATGACCTTCAATAATGAAATCTCCTGTGGAAGCAAGGCCAACACCAAAATCCCAAATCATATACAAGATTCCTAAGAGACGGAGGAAACTCAGGGAAGGAGGGAGGACTGGGAAGGCTTTGGGAAGGGGTGGAGTTAATAGGATGATGTCCCGAATAAAATGAGATGGCCAGCAAACAGACTGTTGACCAAGGAGGCCGAGAGCAAGTCTGCCAAGCCCGCTCTAGAAACTGGGAGTTGTACGCTGGCATCGGTCACTGGGATCTGGGAAGGCTGTCCAGGAGGGAAGGTTGTTTCCACCATTCTCTAATTCTCTCTCAGCACTCATTTCTTCTCAAATACTCTGTGCCAAGTAAGACAGAAAAGCGCCAGGAGAAAAGCAAGGGAAAGTAATTAGCTACCTCTTCGCCGCCGATCTGGTATCTCTGGCCTGGCCTTCCTTTATCCCAGGAGCAGTCTTCAACCTCTGGAAGCCTGTAATAGCTGCTAAGTAGGGATAATGGTAGCACTGGTTTCTCTACCAGGTCGTGAGGATGCTGATATTTCACTTGCCTGGCCCATTTAGATGGTGTGAAGATAAGTCCGGTCATGTTTCGTCATATGTTAATTTCCGTCTTTCATCTGAGAACCTCACAGAGGATTGCAACATTTCTCCTTGCAACACCTCTGTGAGGCAGGGTGGTGAGTAATATATATTATTGCCCCCGTTTGAAAGCTGTAGGAACTGAGTCAGAAAGAGGTCACAGGAACTGTTCAAGGTCACGCGTCCTCAGCATGCTGTCGAACTGGAAAGAGGCGCATCGATTCTGTTCGGTCATCGCTGGCGTTAAGCCAGCTCAGGCTTCCTCCTCTGCCCTCATTGCCCAAATCTGACGTTTGTAAAGCTTCCCAACATGATCCAAATTCAGAGGTTCATTGTTATTAATTATCCTAATCCACACTAATGTATACTTGGTACACAATACTGTAACACGCAAAGATGAGACATCCCATGGAGGAATTACCTGCCTCAAGGTGGTGGTGTGAAGTTTAATTGAATTAATTAATGTTTGTAAAACATTTAGCAACACTAGGATTAAAGGGTCCAATACAAAGAAACAAGGCCTCCCCATTAATTACAAAAGAAAGAGCAAGCTAATGACTCTGTTTCTAGAAGACTTGCTCTCAACCAGCTGGGCTCAGGGTTGAGTTCTGACCTTCATGACAGCTTGGGGTGGCTTGTGCCATATTCACAAAAGCTTCTCTTGCTAGCTGTTGTTTAAAAGAAAAAAAAAAACATGAAAATAAAAAAGCTGCTTTCTGGAGGTAAGAAAGTTCCCTTCTGTGAAGAATACCTTGGTGGGTGACTGTTAGGACAATTAACTCCAGGTCGTTAAACACAGTCTTTGAAAACAGGAACCAAGACTTGGTCTTTCCAAAGAATCGCCATGACGGCGGCGTGTTTAATTTTGAAAATTTTTGAAAATCTGAATATGCAAAGCAAAAGAAAGTGACTAGTAAAAATCAGAAGCCATTACAACTTGCTTGGGCCTCCTCACTGCTCAGGTGAAGAAAGACCTATAAAAAGACTGGAAAATGACTGGTTGTGCTATCTGCAAGAACCAAGTCACACATAAAGACTAGCACTTTCTATAATGTGTTTTACCCACAGCTACCTTGCTACTCAGTTGTTGTTTTTTTGTTTGTTTGTTTGTTTGTTTGTTTTTAAGGGACTAGCATAAGAGTATTGGGGGGGGATCTCTCTTTTGAATATTTAAAAGAGGTTCTCATTCTCAAGGCAGGGATTTAA